CGTGTGAGAGTGTGGCTGTGAGTGTTTGTGAGGTATATATTTGACGTGTGGGTGTCTGACAGGATATGTGTCAATCTCAACTGCACGCCACAGCAGTTTTTTCCTTGAACTTTCTTGCCACATTGCCAGTGTGTCTTGCAAGTGGCACTGTGATATTTTGGCCCAACAGGATGCCACAGTTGTACGGTTTCTCACAGGTTGGTAAATATTTTTTAGTTGCGTTGCTTTTTTTTCCAATACCATAAGCACATAACGGAAAATACTGTGAAAACCACATGTGAAACAATCACATCATAGGGCTTTCCTTTGAATGATCCCCTATTTAAAACTTCTTTTGGTAGGGTTTGTGTTTTTTCATTGCATAATTGTGCACGCAAGAGAGCAACATAGCATGCAAAAACATTTGACAAAACAGACCTCACATTTACATACCTGCCACTCTAACTGTAACTCAGACAAGGTGACTGAAACTTTGAAGAAGGGAAGGCAGAGCAGGGTAATGCACCCCCTGTTCTTGCTCCACTGATCTCTGCTAATTAGCTTGCAGTGATGGTGCATAGTGATAGCAGATTGAGAAGCACTTTTCCATCAGACCACGTGCCCCTTGTCTAAAAGTCTGGATTTTTTATGCGTTTTCAAATTCAGATGGTATCAAATCTGGGAAGTTGTTGGTAGGGCTAGGTGGCTGGAAAATTATATTTTAATTTAATTTGCAGTTTTGGTTTCCAGCGGTATTGGAATAAAGCTAGTAATTCTAGGAAACTCATGTTTTTTCCCCCTTGTGTTGTGAGTCAGTGCACCTCTTTCCTTTACTTGATTGCACTTTTGACCCTGCCTGAAAGTTAGAATTCACTTGATGTTTAGCTCAGTTCCAGCCTAAAAGATGTGTTTAGAGGATGCAACACTCACAAGGTGCCTTCAGGTGAAGCTGTGGAAGGATTTTTAATGGTTCCCTTTGTCTACATCTCACTTTGCATCTCTTGCCCTGTTCGCTTGTCAGAGTAACAACTTCGCAGCTGGTTTTATCTCACTCGCCCTGTGGTTTCCATGTTGGTCTCCTGTGGCACGCAAGTCCGCTGCAGCCTGGGCAACCTTCTGCTTCTGGCTTCACTTGCAGGCATTGTCTGGATGATGGTCTTGTAAGATGTACCGTTTGGTCAAAGACGCACCCTAATCGGGGCTTAAATCCCTACCAGACTAACCTGTGTCCCCCATCTTCTCACCTCTTCATTTAAATTATTTTTCATTTGAATTATATCATATATATTTAAATGGTCTTACTGCTGCATGAAGTTCATGCATTTTAAAACTGATAGCGCCTGATTGTTATAAATTGCTGAGTCACACCACTTAAGAGTTATCTGAGCACATGAAGCTACAGACATCATTTAGTGTGATTTTCCGCTTACTCAGGATATCTAACCAACATAGATAGCGCTGGGCCGTATAATCAGAAATATCTATTGCAGTTGTTTTCTCTCTGCGAGTCTAGCAGCTTCATATTTTGATAGATATTATTTTTGCATCAGTCGCTCTTTATAAAGGTTTGCAATGACTCAATGTTCTATCAGGAGTATATAAAAACTCCCACTTAATAGTATCATTAAAAAAAACAAAGCATAAATACAATACAATAAACAACCAAAACAATACATAAGCTACTCTTATTGACTCTGCTAACTAGCTGCCTTAGCTGCCTCGTAACATCCTTGCAAACACCAATTTCCTTAAACGTGCAATGATAAATGACATGTTTTACATATTTGCATGTCTTTTGTTTAATGCTTTTCATAACTGCAATGCTTTCTATCTCCGTCTATCTTATCTTATCTCTAGTGAGTGAATGGTCCTAACTAGGGCTGCCACGATTAGTCGACTAGTCACGATTAGTCGACACTTCGTTTGACGCTTTGTAAGATCCCAAAAGACGCAGGAATAAGTAGTAGGATTTAAGAGTGTAATAACGGACTGAAACAGAAG